CCCGGCCACTGCACGCCCACGGCGGCCGGCCCCCAGCCTCCTCCTCGGGTAGCAACAAGCACACCCCCCTCACCCTCCCCGAAACTCTCACCGTTTCCCCCGTTTTCCCCGCCTTTACCCAAGATTTCCCCTCTCCCCATCTCGTCGGTCCCTTCCTGGATACCAAAGCGAGGTTGGGGCTGGCTGTGTGACGGCTGCCCCAATCGCTGACAGGAGGAATGTCACACGTTGAGTTGAAAATTTCCCAAATTTTCCGGTCATATTCCGAAAATTTTCAGAAAATAACAGAAAACCTGAAAAGCTGGGAATTTTTGTTTCTTTTTCCCCGAAAATTTCCATTTTTCCCCGAAATTTTCCGAGAGTTTACCAAGAACTTCCCACAGGGCTTTCGCTTCCAACCCTTTTGTCCCACTGACTCACGCACGCATGCACGGAACCAGGCACGCACGCATGCACACATTCACAGACGCACGCACGCACACAGGCACCCGCTGTCGGGCTTAGTTCGTCGACCCCTGCGCTGCTCGGACGCAAGCAGCCCGGTGGTGGCCCCACGAGAGGTGGAGGGAGGGAGGGAGGGAAGAGGAGGGGGGAGAGAGTGAGTGAGTGTGTGAGAGAGACAGAGAGAGAGAGCGAGAGAGAGACAGAGAGAGAGACAGAGAGAGAGAGAAGACAATGCTGCGGACACCATCACTTTATTGTCGAAAAACAACAACAGAGCGCAGCTCGGGATGATCGGGGTGCGGTGGGGCGGGGCGGGGGTGTTCAAAGCCAAAGGCCAGACAGGTATGTGCGTTCGGCGTCGGTGGAGGAAGGGGGGCTGAGGATAAAGGGTAGCGCCGCCGGCGCGCCGGGATGCAGCGAGCAAAGAGATGGGGCTATGTTGACTGTTTATTTTCGAATGAAAAAAAAGTCTCGTTGGCAAAAATATATGTCTGATTGATGATTGTTTCGACTGTGTGGTGGGCAAACAACGCGTCTCGGTCGGTGGTTGGTGGGGCACCTTGTCGACAAGGGTGTACTACTTGTCCGTCGTGTCGAGCTGCGACGACAGGCAGGCAGGCCGAGCGAGACAGGCTGGACACCTCGCCAGAAAAAAAAGAGGTGTATGATGTGTGTTGTCTTTTGCTGGTGTGTGCTGAATTCGGTTGGTCATCGATTGCTGTTCTTGGATTTGAAACGAAAGTAGTAGTAGTAGTGTGCTCTCTGTAATGCCTAACACCGCTGTACCGCCGTCAGGGCAGCCGAATGATGAGGTTTCTGCGTGTGTGTGTGTGGGGGGGGGGGGGGG